AATCTTTGAGGTAAACTGTCTACTTTTTCCTCTGTTCCAAGAGTAGGAGATATGCTACAGTGAGCTTTAATAAAAAAATTTTTTTTAATGGAAAATTACTGACCGAGATATATAAAAATAAGAATTAGTGAGCCAAAATTGTCCTTCTACTTTTCTGTGTTGTCTTAGATATGTAAATATTTTTCCATGACTTTCTGTAATATCTTGATACAAATATTTCCAACTTTCACCTTCGACTAGTAGAAGCAAATACAATATTGAGCCTACTTCAGACTCTAAATACTGTTAAGTATGTAGTGATTGGGGGTGGGAATCTAATTTAATTGCATGAAAATTTTTTTCCTCCTGAAATCAGAGCTCATTTTGAGCCTCAAAACCCAAACCCATTGCCATCAAGTTGATTCCAACTTACAGCGACCCTATGGGACAGGGTAGAACTACCCCATAGGGTTTCCAAGGCTGTAATTGCCACATCTTTCTCCTGCGGAGGCTGGTGGGTTGAAACCACTGATCTTTTGGTTGGCAGCTGAGCACTTAACCACTGCACCACCATGACTCCTTTTTTAGAACCTCAAAGACTCTTAAATTCTAATATTAGGGACTAGTTATTGAAATAATTTCTTTTTTCTTCTTTAAAAGTTTACATTGTTCCTCAGACTAGCATATAGATTTTAAGTTCCTTCAGGCCAGAGACCAAGTCTTATTGTTGGGTTTTACAAGGCATTTAATTCATGTCATATTTACTAATGGACTTAATTCTGATGGTTTTAGCATTTATCTCTATTCGGATATAATTGATTGGATTGTCTTCCAGCCATCAGGAAAGAAATATATACAGATTTGCTGTAATAAACTTTGTAAAAGTTACTTAAAACAACTATTCCAAGAGAATTATTTCCATCTTTTTTTTTCTTCTTTAAGAAGAATCTCCATAGAAAATTCTGCGAAAAGGTCTCAGTATGAGTCTATTGAATATGTTCAGTAGAGCAGAGAAACCTCCCATTCCATTGTGATAGGGTTCAAACGTCATTTTTTTATCTGTTCATCAGAGGAAAAAAAAAATTTTTTTAGTCTGAAAGATTTTCAAAGGCTTTAGAAACATGTTCTGCTCACCCCCTGAAATTCGCTTAGTGTGGGGGAAAGGGGTGCTATCGTCAGTTACTATTTGATGACTGTCAGAGCCAGCACAGAGCAGTTTTGGGGTTCCCCGGGTCCCGAAACGGGGGTCTTCCACAGAGGGCTGGTCTGACTGGGTGTGACCTGTGCTTCAGACCGCCTGGGGCTCAAGGTCTGCTGTTAGCCTAGTAAGCTATTCCTTAGCTGACCTTCACAAGTGGCTTTATAATCTTTAAATAAATTTGAACACTATTCATGTGTTTCTTCAATCATTCAAAGAGCGTATTAGTGTTTGCTAATGGAAGATTTAAGTAGGACATTAAGGAAAAGTGGCAGGTCAGGGTTCTTAATGTTGAGCTCATCGTTTTTGCTTCTAACTCATGGGGTTATTGTGAGGATTAAGTGAAATGATAAGTACCCAGTGCCTGATCCTTCCTTTTACTGGTAATGTTTCTCATTAACGTTTTTATAAATTTTATCAGTGACCTTATCAGTGTGGATGGTATGTTTACCTTGAGCCTTTTTTCCCTCAAAGATAGGAATTCCTAGCAAAATATTCCTCTAATTTTAACACAGAATGAGAAAATGCGTACTTTATTTGAGATAGAATCAAAGCTTGTTTTTCATGCTGTACAAGTTGTCACTTTTTCTCTTTGCCTTTGGAAAGTTTCACATTAACAGCATGAGAACTTAAAAATACAGTTGATGTGGAAAGAGCTTAACTAAATATTTTAAATTGGTGGTATTGGAAAGAGATTCTGTAAAAATCCAATTAAACTTTTGAAGGCACTATCCTGTTGAAATATAACTTAAAGGAAGTCAGTTTGGTTTCCCAGAAGTACTTTGCATAGTGTTCTGGCTGAGGAAGAAAGGCTTGAGTCTGCTATTTGGCCAGAAATTGGGTACCAGCTTCCTCTACAATGTTTTGCTTGAGCGGTGTTGACACTTGAGCAAATCCCATAGAAACTGCCCCAAGTGGGAAGTAGTTGTCTTTGCTTTTGTAGTAAGATTTGGCCCCAATAACTAAAGTTTCAGACACTGCTAGTATTCTTGGCCGAATAATCTATAGCTGTGCATAAGTTGAGAACAAAACCCAAATGTTTTAGAAACTTTAATGGCTACTGTATTTCAACTAATCAGTAAACTTAAAAATATTGGTGTAGTTTGTTGCTTCATAGCCAATAAAAATAGTGAACAAAAAGAGTCTAGTGTCCCTTGTTTCTTAAATAAACTCTGGAAATTCAGTTCTCCTGCTCATTTAATTATTAAATTCAAAATACTAGAATGATTTCTCTGTTGGATTTTCAAGGGTGATAGTTAACATTTACTGTTGTTGGTTGCCATCGGTGGATGCCGACTCGTGGTGAACCCCGTGTGTGCAGTGTTATCTTAATACTAGTAGTTACACTTACCTAGTATTAAAATATGTCACAGAGATTTTATGTGGATATAAGTGAAAGAATTATTTATGTTACTTTAAAGGTTTGAGTGTTTTAGCTTGAAAATCCTTAGAGTTTATTCCAGAGCCCTGGTGGAACAGTGGTTAAGAGGTCGGCTGCTAACCAAAAGGTTGGCAGTTGGAATCCACCGGCTGCTCCTGGAAACCCTATAGGGCAGTTCTTCTCTGTCCTATAGGGTCGCTATGAGTTTACTCCAAAAAATAAAAAGGTACAAGAGTTTGAGATGTACATTGTTAAAATGGAGTGATATAGGGACCAAAAAGGGAATTAAGAAAAAAATGTGTCTTGGTTCAGAGCAAGAGGAGAAGTGAGTGAAAAGGTGGCAGGGAGTACATACCATACGAGTTGAAACTAGAATCTTTCAGGAAATAACTGAGGCAATCTTTATGTCCTCTACTCGAGCCTTACCATAGTGCTTATCGAGACAGCAAAACTGTATTAACCACATGCTGTAGAAATCTCATTGATGTGGACAGTATTTTTAAAAATTTAGACTCAGTTGAGTAATCTTAAATCTTCTGAGTATAATACTGATAAATCAGGCTCATGTCCTTCGGACATGTTATCAGGAAGGACCAGTCCCTGGAGGACATCATGCTTCGTGAAGTAGAGGGTCAGTGAAAAACAGGAAAACCCTCAGCGAGGTGGATTAACACAGTGTCTGCAACAATGAGCTCAAGCATAGCAATGATTGTGAGGATGGCACAGGGCCGGGCAGTGTTTCATCCTGTTGTACCATATGGTTGCTAAGAGTCAGAACCGACTCTAGCACCTAAACAGCAACGAGGCAGGTAGAAAGGTTGTTGAGTTTCACCGTAGTATTAAGTGACAAGTAATTGTTCAAAACAACTCTGGGTTCTTTCCTTTCTGAAGAAAACATTTTTTAAAAGAAACTTGAGGCTCTTGTGTATGGTTTAGGAATTTGTTCAGAGTTTAAAAAGATGTCCAAATAAAACTCAGCAGTAAGCTAACAATACTTTAATATGCAAATTTATCTCATTCTCACCCTCAAAAAAAAAAAAAAATCCAGTAAGAGATTCTTAGAAAATTGTAACAAAATTAAAGCATAAATGCAGGAACTAGTAGTTAATGCTCGGTGAAAGATTTGGGAGTTAGGGTAACACATGGCTTTGATTACATAGGATTAATTAATTCCAAAGCAGAGTGAATTAAGACTGCATTATAAATTTGAAGTGGTTTTGAAAGGAAACTTGGGATAACGTTAAGAATAATACAAATTTCGAGGGGCTCAAAATATCAAATTTCAAATCTGAAAGAGCTGTGAAAGTATAGAATACATTGAATGATCACAGTCATTTTAGGTCTGCATTATACATGTAAATTCCATGAGGACAGGCATATTTGTTTTTTTTTTGCCGATGTATCCTAAGCAGGACAGTACCTGGCGTATGATAGACACTTGGCATATTATTAAGCAGATATTAGAATTACGGTTTTATGTTCTCTGACTCTTTACTAAAGTGAAGTTAATCAGTACCAGGCTTTCTACTCTGGTTAAGGAATTTATTACATTTATTTATCTTAGTTAATTTCACTTATTAAATATGAAAGCATCATAAAGCTTTAAAACCATTCGACTTCAAAATTTTCTTTTTTCTCCAGTCTGAATGGGAGAGTGACTGTGTGTGTGTGCTAGTGTGAATCTCAGAGAGCAAGTGACCTAGCTGATTTTGGAGGCCTTATGTTCAAGAGAAGTGGTTTATGTGCTGGAAGCTTCTGTCTGGCTAATTTTGAAACATTCAGGACTAGTTTCAGATGAAAGTTTGTGAATTGTACATTATTTCATTTTATAGCTCCCTCTTGGGTAGCTCTCAATTACCCTCCCCCTGGCCATCTTAAAGCCATTAATCCTATAATAATTAGAGTTTGTTGGTATAGAAATTGTATTTAAACAGTGATGACAAAGCCACGCAAACTCATCTAATCATTTCATGAATTTGTATGTGCAAGAGTAGTACATAAAAACAAGAGGACTGATTCATTTGAAACTGCTCAATTTTTCAGTTCTTCAAAGGTGCACAAAATACTTTCTTCTCATTAGTTAAGGTTATTGACCATTCCATGAAATGGTAACTTCACCTCTTCACTAGGTTGCTTTGAAAGTTTTTAATATTGTTTAGTTCCTAATGTAATTCATGAAGCCCTGGTGGCGCAGAGGTTAAGAGCTGTGGCTGCTAACCAAAAGGTCGGCAGTTCCAATCCACCAGCCGCCCTTGGAAACCCTATGGGGCAGTTCTACTCTGTCCTATACGGTCACTAGGAGTTGGAATCAACTTGACGGCAACTTTTTTTTTAAAGTAATCCATGACCTTTCCTCACTCTTCTTGGACCATGATTTTTTCCCTTTTTAAATTCCTTCAGGCAGTATCTGTAACCTCACCTCCTCTTTGTTCATTGGCACAGGTGAAAAGCCGTACAAGTGCACCTGGGATGGCTGTGACTGGAGGTTCGCGCGGTCGGATGAGCTGACCCGCCACTACCGGAAGCACACGGGCGCCAAACCGTTCCAGTGCGCCGTGTGCAACCGCAGCTTCTCGCGCTCCGACCACCTGGCCCTGCACATGAAGAGGCACCAGAACTGAGACCCACTGCCCGCCGGCGGTCCGTGCCTATGCAATTCATACCGAGGTTCTGCAGTTAACCTGGCAAAATTTTAACTACAAGCTTAACTATATATATATAAAAAAAGAAAAAACAAACTGGAAATGTATATTTTGTATATTTGAGAAAACAGGGAATACATTGTATGAATACCAAAGTGTTTGGTCATTTTAAGAATCTGGAATGCTTGCTGTAATGTGTATGGCTTTACTCAAGCAGATTTCATCTCATGACAGGCAGCCACATCTCAACATGAGTAGGGGGGTGAGGGGTAGGGACAGGAGGGATGTGTTTGCAGTGTTTTTACCTAAGCACCATCATTTAATGTGACAGTGTTTAGTAAACAAATCAGTTGGCAGGCACGGGAAGGAGGAGGAAGTTTATGTCAAGATTTTACTTGACATGGGGTACTTTTTTCAATATTAAGTAATTCCTTGGAGGTGCCCAGTGTATGTGGCAATTCACAAATAGCCATTGAACAAATGTGTTTCTTTTTTTTAAATATGAGTTGCATATTTTGCTATTCGAAATTTTGTAAATATACAGATCAGCTTTATAGGTTTATTACAAGTTTTCTAGGATTCTTTTGGGGAAAAATCATAAGTAATTTATTTGAAAATAAGCATGAATACATTCACAGTTAGAATTTGTGGTTAAGATACCTCTCAAAAATGTTACCAAATTCATTTCTTTAGGGGAGAAGAAATAATCATTCAAATGAACTTAATAAATTTCATTCAGTGATTAAAATAGGATTGTTTGTTTTAAATATGGAAAGACATTTTGTATGAATTGTGAACTCCAGCTTAAGAAAGATAGTTACAATATACAAAAGGTAAACCTCTTACAATAAGCTAAACAGTATCATTGTTAAAAAGAAGGACTTATGATGTGGTTTTTCACACGGCAATGTTGAATTTATGATGCAGTTTTCATATACCAGAATGTTTGCTCGTGTAGTACTGTTGGTTAAATGCCAGTTTATGTGGATTTTGCATGTAATATACAGTGAGACACAGTAATTTTACCTAAATTACAGTGTAGTTTAGTTAATCTGTTAATACTGACTCAATGTCTGCCTTTAAATATAAATGACATGTTGAAAACTTAAGGAAGCAAGTGCTACATATATGCAATATAAAATAGTCATGTGATGCTGATGCTGTTAACCAAAGGGCAGAATAAATAAGCAAAATGCCAAAAGGGGTCTTAATTGAAAATGAAAATTTAATTTTGTTTTTAAAATATTGTTTATCTTTATTTATTTTGTGGTAATATAGTAAGTTTTTTTAGAAAGCAATTTTCATAACTTGATAAATTATAGTTTTGTTTGTTAGAAAAGTTGCTCTTAAAACATGTAAATAGTTGACAAACGGTGTAAATAATTTTGTAAGAGGCTTCAAATGTTTATACGTGGAAACACATACATAAAAAGCATAAATCGGTTGCTGTTTTGCTTCTTTTTCCCTCTTATTTTTGTATTGTGGTCATTTCCTATGCAAATAATGGAGCAAACAGCTGTATAGTTGTAGAATTTTTTGAGAGAATGAGATGTTTATATATTAACGACAATTTTTTTTTTGGAAAATAAAAAGTGCCTAAAATACTCCATGTTGTGACTTCCTTCTTCACCTGCAATAGCAAGAACAATTAACTAGCAAATGCCATTCCCAAAGCTAATTATGTAAAAATATTTATCAGGCCAGTTAATAAAAAACCAATTACCAGGCATTTTCCATGAATTACATTGAACCAACACCTATGTTTGTAAGATAGGGATTTATTTAAAATACATAGTTAACCTTTTAATTAGAAGTATAAAGGGAGGCATGATTCATGAATACTTTTGTTTCTAGTCACTATAGATACTGCAGTAACCTGATTAAGATCCTTAGTGGAAAATAATACGGTATAGTAATTTGCTAGCTTGGAGATTTTATCAGAGGCAAACAAAAATGGGATCTTTAATACTTCTACTTTTTTAAAGAGTGAACATTAAAAGTTAATTTTTTTTTTTAACCCAATAGCAGCAAGCACACCTAGGATCTAGATCTTGGTTTCTAATACCATTCTTCAATAAAAAAAAGAAAGCAAGGCTCCTTGGGAAAATGGCAGATTTTAGGACTGGAGCAGGAAGTATACAAGGTGAGCCTAGAACACCTTGTAGTGCCAGAACGTAAAGAAGGGCTGAAACTCCTTCACATATTCACAAGTTCATATTAATATAAATAATTGAATACATGGAATGGGTGAAAAGCCTGTGCGGGAGAGTTCCAAATAATTGTAGATAGTCCACTCTTAAGGAAGTGGAGCATAACTCCTCAAGTATAGGCTGTGTATAGTGACTTCAGAAGAGTACAGTGGAAAGGAGATAGAGTAACTTCACAGTGGAGAATCCTGACAAAATACTACCTCGGCCAGGTGATCAAGGTTCATGGCAACAGCGATAAGTCATGTTGATAGCATGTACCATTGATATGATGAGAATAGTACTTCACCTCTGATACTTTCCCCACAAACACACAACGCCAGTCTAGTCATGAGAAATACCAGCAAATCTCAATTGAGGGACATTCTACGAAATATTGTCAAGGTCATCAAAATCAAGGGAAGTCTGAGAAACTGAGACAGCCAAGAGGAGCCTGAGGAGACTTGATGACTAAGTGTAATGTGTTATCCTAGATAGGATCCTGAGCAGAAGAAGGCATGAGGGGAAAGGTGAGGAAATACGAACAAAGTCTGAATTTTAGTCAATAATGTGTTAATACTGGTTCATTAACTGTGACAAGAGGAGACCTTGTGCCACGAGGGTTTAATGCTGTACTGGTAACCAAAAGGTTGGTTGGAATCCACCCAGCAGCTTTGCGGGAGAAAGACCTGGCAATCTGCTCCCATAAATAATATAGCCGAGAAAACCCTATGGGGCACTTCTACTCTGTCACATGGGGTCACTATGAGTTGAAAATCAACTTGACAGCACCTAACAACAGCAATTAGGATGTTACCATAGGTACCATACTAATGTAAGATGTTAATAATTGTGGAAGTTGGATGTGGGGTACACTGGAATTCTGTATTACTATTTTCCCAATAACTAAATGTTGTTAGGTGCTGTCGAGTCGCTTCTGACTCACAGCGACCCCGTGTACAACAGAATGAAGCACTGCCCGTCCTGCACCATCCTCACTGTCTTTGCTATGTTTGAGCCCATTGTTGCAGCCACTGTGTCAATCCATCTCGTTTAGGGTCTTCCTTTTTCGCTCATCCTCTACCAAGCATGATGTCCTTCTAATCTAAAACTTCTAAAATAAAAAAATTCATTAAAAAAGTGAAGGGAAGAATCAGTATCGCTATTAACACATTTTCACAACAAATGGGAGAAAATCCTTGATGTTTTCAGAGCTAATGTGAAGATTGCCGTTGAACAATTTGCATCATGAATTTATTCAGCATCACTCATTATTTGACTTCTCACTGTTAAACCTATAATCCAAGTAACATCTAGCTCTAGAACACCACACATTTCCTTCCCTAGCTGCTACTCATTCTTTCATTGTTTTCCCTGACTAGCTACCCTGTGCCAGGTACAGCACAAAGGTGAGCTGAAAAGCTCAGGCTCTACCTTCTGGTGGCTCACAGCTTATGGGAGAGAAGATGGATATACCACAATTACAAGCCCCAACAGCTAAGCGTTAGATAGAGCACAGAGTACAACAGGAACGCAAATTCGCTCAGGCTTGGTTAGTGAGCAGTCTGGAAGGTGTCAGCTGAGGCTGTGCCTGGGGTTTGCAGAAACCCTGGTTCTTCTAGCTCTGCTTCCTAGCAGTGTAACCTTGGGTAAGTTATTTAACCACAGTTTTCAAAAAGGTGGTACTAACATCTCGCTTACAGAACCCTGGTGGCACAGTAGTTAAGTGCTCAGCTGTTAACTGAAAGGTTGGAGGTTTGAACCCACCAGCCACTCCACGGGAGGAAGATGTGGCAGTCTGCTTCCTTGAAGATTGCAGCCTTGGAAATCATATGGGGCAGTTCTACTCTGTCCTACAGGGTCGCTATGAGTTGGAATTGACTCCATGGCAATGGATAATATCTTGCTTAGCACAAAGCCTGGCAAAATAAATAGCCATCACTATCATTATAAAAGTGGATTTTACTGATAAGCTGATAGGATGTAATATAAAAAACCCATTGCTGTCAAGTCGATTCCAACTCATAGCGACCCTATAGGACAGAGTAGCAGTACCCCACAGAGTTTCCTAGGAGTGCCGGTGGATTCGAACTGCTGACATTTTGGTTAGCAGCCATAGCACTTAACCGCTATGCCACCAGGGTTTCCGTATGTAGTACAATGGTTCTCAAATTTTGTTGCGCATTAGAATTTCCTGGGAAACTTTAAAAAAAATTCTAATGCCTGGACCTCACCCCAGACCATTAAATTAGAATCTGTGAGCATTGAGCTTGAGCACTGATACTTGTTAAACTTTCCTGGCCACATCATTAAATCTGCTCTTGTTTTTCAATCTATTATGAACCTTAGTGTTTATCAAACAGGCAGTGGATTCTGTACCAAGAGTTCTCATTGTACCTTTCCTTACATTAGGTGCAAAATGCACCTCCTTACAGATACAACTGTAAACTTCAACCCATTGATTAGGCTAAGGGAAATATAACCTAACACAGTTATTTAAAAACATTAAAGTTTTACTAAATAGACAATAGATAAGTGGTAACTTTGGTAAAGGGTAAGACAGTACACAATACTGGGGAAGCCAGCACAACTTGTCCAAGGCAAGGTCATGGAAGCTCCACAGACACATCCAAACTACCTGAAGGACTGAATTGCTGATCCGAGGGCTGTGGGGACCATGGTCTTGGGGAACATCCAGCTCAATTGGCATAACATAGTTTATAAAAAAAAGTATTCTACATTCTACTTTGGTGAATAGCATCTGGGGTCTTAAAAGCTTGTGAGTGGCCATCTAAGATGCTCCGCTGGTCCCACTTCATCTGGAGCAAGGGAGAATGAAGAAAACCAACGCAAGGGGAAGATTAGTCCGAAGGACTAATGGACCATAACTACCACAGCCTCCACCAGACTAAGTCCAGCATAACTAGATGGTGCCCAGCTACCACCACTGACTACTCTGACAGGGATCACAATAGAGGGTCCTGGACAGAGCTGGAGAAAAATGCAGAACAAAATTCTAACTCAAAAAAAAAAGACCAAACTTACTGGCCTGACAGAGACTGGAGAAACCCCTAGAGTATGGCCCCCGGACAACCTTTTAGCTCAGTACTGAAGTCACTCCTGAGATTCACCCTTCAGCGAAAGATTAGACAGGCCCATAAAACAAAACAAGACTAAAGGGGCACACCAGCCCAGGGACAAGGACTAGAAGGCAGGAGGGGACAGGAAAGCTGGTGATTGAGAACCTAAAGTCAAGAAGGGAGAGTCTTGACATGTCGTGGTGTTGGTAACCAGTGTAACAAAACAATGTGTGTACTAACTGTTTAATGAGAAGCCAGTTTGTTCTGTAAACCTTCATCTAAAGTACAATAAAAAAAAAAAAAAGGACTTACAAAACAAAAATGATTACAGCCAAGAAAACCCTAGGGAGCAGTTCTACTCTGTAACACATG